ATCTCCAATGAACCACCAGAAAACTGGAAGCTGCGCTGTGGCTCAAGTGGTAGAGCATTGCCTTGAGTGGAAAGGCTCAGGGACCGCGCCCAGGACCCGAGTTCAAGCCCCACAACCGAAAAACAAAAAACAAAAAAAAAAACCCTCATACTAGATGGGGACAGAAACTCAGTAGCTTTCCAAAGGAGCAGGGGGAAAGTGTACTGGGCTGGAACCGCAGGTGGAAGGCTAGGATTTGAGACCTCTTTCTGCTTCTGCCTGGCCGTTCCATCCTCTCTCTTTCTCTCTACTCCCAGCACAGTCTGCATCCCCAGAAAAGTCTCCACTCAGTTCCCCCAGAGATATCTAGAACCAGAACTGGGAGGCGCCACGTCCCTCCCCGGCTCTCACCCATCTCCGTGGCACAGCTGACCATCCAGCGCACCATCTCCCGCCGGCGCCACGTCATGGTGTTCAGGGTCATCCGCATCACCTACAGCGTGGTGCAGGGAAAAGAAAGGAGCTCTTAACGAGTCTCCAGGCCGATTGGGGAGCTACCGTGGGGGGGAGGGGAAGCGGAGAGTCCCCTTGAGGGGCCCAAGGAAATCTGAACCGAGATCTCCAGCCTCCTGAATAGCTAAGATTACAGGCGTGAGCCACTGGCTAACATTCTGATCTCCAGGAAAAAGGAAGTGGCGCTGTGGCGCAAGTGGTAGAGCGCTCGCCTTGAGCTGAAGGGCTGAGGGACAGCGCCCAGGCCGAGTTCAAGCCCCGCCCCCAAGGGTGCTCCTTATTGGCTGACTTTGTGGCATCCTTCCTTTCATCCCCGCCCACATTCATGGTCCCTAACCAGTAGCAGCAGGGAGCAGTCCCAGGCTCCGCCCCTGCCCTCCCCTGAGCTGGAGGAGGCTAGAATGCCAAGTAAGGGCTCTGCCACGTGGCCCCGCCCCTGCCGCATAGCCCCGCCCCCAGGCTTGCTGCGCTCCTGCAGCTTGGCCCTCCATCTTCACCACGGGGGCACACCCCTATGCCTAGCAGGCTGTCGGCCCCGCCCACAGGGCGTGGCCGTGCGAAGGCACGCCCACAGAAGGCGTGGTGATCTCTCAGGCCCCAGCCCTTCTTCCCTCCACCTGGGCGTCACCTGCAGCCCCAGCTCCAGCGCGATGCCCAGCAGCGTAGTGTCCGGCGGCGCGCTGGCCGGGGTGGCCGTCTTGCAGGCGTCCTGCGCCAGCTTGAAGAGCAAGGCCGGAGAGTGGATGTTTTGTTGGATGGAGCCCAGCACCGCGTGCAGCCACTTGGGGTCTCCTGGGTGGAAGGAGGGACGAGGACATGGCTGAACCCCTTTCTCCCCAACCTGGCACTTTGCGCTGCAGCCGGAGGCCCTGCCCACAGGGCTTCCACTACCGGGGGCATGCGCATGCATCTACAGCCAGTCCAGGCAGCTCTTCTGCAAAGATCCACACCCTAATCATTCTCCTCCTCCATGCCTGCGGTTTACTCTTTCCCGCACCACCAGCATCGGCTCATCCCCAAAGGCATCAATTCTGGACACAGAATGCTGGGATTTGAATCCCCATCGTGCCACTCATGCGCTGTGTGGCTTTCAGCAACCCACTTGCCCCCTCTGGGTCTTTGCTGAGCCATCTGTGCAATGGATTACACCAAAGCAAGGGTACCTGCCTCCCAGGCCCTGGGAACCTGCAATACATGAATGTTAGCTGTTTGTTTTCTTTCCTGGGCTTGCTCTGGCATTGTTAGAGCTCAGCCTCCTGAGTAGCTGGGATGACAGGTAGGAGTCACCCCTCTTGGCTGATTTTTTTCCCCACTACCCTACAAAGTAAAGGATGTGGCTCAGTAGTTGAAGGAAGACTGCAGCAGGGGTGTGGTTTGCGGTGGCTGTAGCTCACTGGCTGAGGGAATGGTTAGATTGCAGGGGCATGGTTTAGTGTGCTCAGCAGTGAAGGTCTGGATCACAGTGGTTCTGTGGGGTAGAGCACTAGATCCGAATGCAAAAAGGCCCTGGATTGAGCTGGGAAGGTGGCTTAGTGGTAGAGCTCTTGCCTAGCATGTACGAAGCCCTGGGTTCCATTCCTCAGTACCACAGACACACAAAAAGCTGGAGGTGATGCTCTGGCTCAAGTGGTAGAGTGCTAGCCTTCAGCAAAAATGCTCAGGGACAGCTGCCCAGGCCCTGAGTTCAAGCCTTAGGACTGGCAAAAACAAAAACAAAAAAAAGGGCGTAGTGACACCTGTAATCCTAGCTACTCAGCAGGCTGAGATCTGAGGATCGCAGTTCAAAGCCAGCCTGCCAAGAAACTCTATGAGATTCCTATCTCCAACTAATCACTCAAAAAGCTGGAAGTGGAGCTGTGACTCAAGGGGTAGAGCACCAGTCTTGACCCCGAAAGCCCGGAAACAGCACATAGGTCCTAAATGGTGGAAAGGAAGAAGAGGCTGGAAGAGGAGGAGGCCGAGAAAGGGAGGCCAGAGCAGAGATCCTCACCCTTGGCGGCAGTCAGCATGGTGGAGGCCAGCTCACACTGGCGGGTCTCCAGGTGCCCAAGGATGAACCAGCGGGGGACGTGGGTGCCCATGATGGAGCCCGGCGGGCTGGGATGAGTTTCTCCGGCCCGGAACCCAGTCTCCAGCACCGGCAGCCTGGGCAGGAAAGAAACAAGGCTGCTGTGAGACAAAGCTGTGAGCTTTGGATGAAGAGCCCCATAGGCCCCGAGCCTCAGTTTCCCCTCTTTGGCCAGTAGAATCCTGGGCACCCAGGAAAAAGGGAAGGCATGTAAGCAAGATGCCCATTGTGCTGTTGTTTATAAAAGAGGGTGAGCCGAGTGTAATGGAGTATGCCTGTAATCCCAGCACTCAGGAGACTAAGGTGGGAAGATCTGGAGGTTGGGGCAGGAAGATGGCCACATAGTGAGTTCAAGGCCAACCTGGCCTGCACAGCCAGTCTCAACACAAGAAAGAGAAAAGACAAACACCTGCTGGTGACTATGTGAAAGGAAAAAGCCTCCCTTTGGTAGGATGTAAATAAGTGCAGCTGGTATGGAAATCTGCATTTTACACACACACACACACACACACACACACACACACACCCCTGCAAACCTACTATAGACGGTGAAGCTGTCTCTCCTCCAGCGCTCATCACTGCAGGCAAGATATAAAGTCAACCCTGGGTCCAGCAATAGAGGACACTGTGTGTCTGTCTATATGCACAATGGAATACTATTCAGCCATAAAAAAGCAGGAAGTCCTGCCACTCACAGCCACCTGGACAGATCTGAAGGACAACCATTTAAATTGGCCAAACACCACATCAATTCTCCCATGGAAGGAGGCTAAAACAGCACTGGGGATGGGAGCCTGCGGTGAGTGACTGGGGTGGGGGTAGGGAGAAGGGGATCCGAGGCTGCGATCTGAGGATTTTGGTTCAAAGTCAGCTAGTGCAGCAAAGCCCATGAGACTCTCAGCTCCAATGAACCATCGAAAAAGCCCACAGTGAAGCCATGGCTCAAGGGGTAGAGCGCCAGCTCCTGAGTATGTACACCATACATTTAACCATGCAAAGGCCAGGGTGGCACCGGATGCCAGGCCCTGTGAGTGCAAGCCCGAGGGCTGCAGGCCCCCCCCCCCGGGACGCCTGGGGGTCCGTGCTCACCTCATGGCTCGCAGTGCCAGGCGGTAGGCCAGGTCAGGGTCGTGGGGCAGCAGCGCGGAGAACAGGTAGCGCGCGCACGTGTGCATGGGCACGCTCTCCCGGAAGAGCACCTCCCCGAAGCCGCTGAAGGGGCCGCCTGCAGGGACAGCCTGAGCTCAGCCAGCCCCCCCTCCCGGGTCCCCCAGATGCCAGGTGGAGGATGGGAGGAGCTCTGGGCAGAGACCCAGACAAGCACTGGAAAGTGCGAGAAGAGTCCCAGAGTGCAGCCTGGTGGGGGCAGGACTCCTAAGCTTAGTGAGGCTGGAGGTCCAAGAGGCCGGTCTGCCACTGGGGTGCAGCCTCGGACCCAAGACCAGCAAGGCTGACCCAACCACGTTGGAGGATCTGCAGAGGACAGCGGTGATTGGCTTCTGCTGCAATATGGGGCAGAGTCTCAGCTAACAAGCCAATAAAAACACGCCAGGGGCGGGGCCAAAGAGGCCCAGGAGGTGGAGCCTATGGTCCTCCCGGGGGTGGGCCTGCCTCCCATTCCAGTATCAAGGACAGAGGCCTCCCAACAAGCAAGGGGCAGGGCCACACCCTTCATTGGCTGCCAGAAACCGGTGGAGGCGGGACCGCGAGTTGACCTGACCACTAGGAGCTGCTCTGGGGGGTATGAGTGACTGGGAGGCCCGGGAGGCGGGGCCAGGGGCGGGGCCTCACCTTCCAGCAGCAGCCCCGCCTGCGTGCGCAGCACCTGCACCAGCCTGTCGTCCAGCCCCACCTCCTCCAGCAGGGCCAGCAGCTGCTCCTCGTGGCGCACCACCTTATCCTGGGCGTACAGGCCCTCGGGCAGGGCCCGCTGCTGGCCCAGCCCCAGCAAGGCCACCTCCAGCGCCAGCGCCAGGTAGGACTCGCCAGGACTCCCGGGCACCGGCACGTGTTGGTAGGACACCTTCCTCTTCTCGGAGCCTGAGTCTGGGGGAGACGAGGCCAGGGCTAAGGAGGGCAGAGCCCCTCCTTGGGGACCCCTGAGGCCGGGGTAGGCTGGGGTGCTTTTGGGGGGAGGGAGGCAACCCCAAACTTCCCAACATTCGCCAGTGGGTGGGGCCTGCGTTTCAAGCAAGAATGAGGCCCATGGTGACCTCGCCCTCCAGAGCGGTGAAAGCTTATTGGCTTCTGGCACAGCCCGGAGGCGTGGCCAAGAGTTAAGGTGACAGGGGCATGGAGGACAGTGGGGGGCTGCCCCGCCCCCCGCCGTAGGTCCCCCAAGTGGGTACCTGGGTACAGAGAGAGTGACTCTTCCTCCAGGCGACAGGCCTCCAGCAGCGCCCTGCAGAGGCAGCCGATGGGGTCCAGGGGGTGGCCCACCCAGCCTTCCACGTGCGCCACGCTGCTCACCCCCTTCTCCAACAGATCTGCAGGGGGAGCGAGGCGAGCTGAGCTAGTGCCCGCCATCCAGCCAGACCTCTGGAGGGGGCTTCCTCCCCCTCATCGCCCCTCCCAATTCCTAGTCAGTTGAGTCCAAACAGCTTGAGTCCTGCCTGACTGGAGGCGCTGCACCAAACCCCTCCTCCAAGCCCTGGGCTCTGCTGCGCTCCTGCCCCGTTACCACTAACCTCCCGCCTCCTCTGGAGGACCTGGGGGGGGGGTGGCCAGGGCTCTCCCATCACTGTCATCCTGTTTGACTTCCGGGTCATGGCTTCTTCACCCCCACCTCCTGGAGAAATGTGGTGGAAGCCTCCCTGTCCCCTGTCTCTTTGCTTCTTTTCCTTTCTACCGAAACTGTGGCTTGAACTCAGGGCCTTGTGCGCTCTTACTTGGCGTTTTTCCACTCAAGGCTAGCGCTCTACCAGTTGAGCCACAGTCCCACTTCTGGCTTTTTTTTTGGTGGCTACTTGAAGATTAATCGTCTGGCCTGGCTTCAAACCGTGACCTTCAGCCCTCAGCCTCCTGGGCAGTTGGATGGACAGGAGTGCGCCACCAGCACCCGGCTCACGATTCTTTCTTTGGCTTCCGGGTCTTTGGTTTATGTGAAACACAAAGTCAAAGCATTCCCCATCCGAAACTCCCCGTCTTCTAAGCCTCTCACGCGGCCAGCGCCATGGCCAGCGCCTCCCTGCAGCACCACGCCACATTCCCCAGACTCCTTTGCACCAGATGCTGATGGCCAGGATGAGACCAGGATTTCTGTCGCCGCCCTGGGCAGCGGGTGGCTCTTCCTGGCGATCTTCAATGCCCTGTATAGAGGGCTGGTGGCGCGTCCAGCTCGCTGCTGCCCCCGTGTGGTTGGCGCCGGGTTGCAGGCCTCCATTCCCTCCCAAGGACAGCATCTGCACCCACCTTTTTTCCTCTGCTTGTAGCTCTCCAGCTGGTGGCGTCGCTGCAGCCGGAGCGTGTTGATGATGGCACTCGCCAGCCGCAGGGCCTGGCGGGGATAGCCGTGGGCCCGCAGGGTGTCCACACGGGCGCAGGCAATGGGGAGAGGTTCGCCCAGCCACAGAGGGCGGCCCTGAGGGTCAAAGTTCGTCTTGTCGGGGCCGATGCTGCCCAGGAGGTGGGGGCCGTGGGAGTCGCTGGACAGGATGCTCTGCAGGTGTGGGTTTCCCCAGTGGAGCTGCCCCGCCTGCAGGGCACGGCCAAAGACGGTGTGGCGGGCACTGGCGGCGGTCCCCTCCTCCTCCTCCTCTGAGCCTGCGGAACAGAGGCCAATGGGGTCCTGTTAGGGGAGGCTCACAGATGGCCGCAAAGCTTCCTCCACCGGGCACCAACCTGGGGCTAGACTGTGGGCACAGGTCTGGGGGTGTCACGTCACCAGCTTTCCTGAGGTGAAAACAGGATAAATCCTGTGTCTGTCTGTCTGTTGCCCCAATCTGCTCCACTCTATTCTCTCTGCATCTCTCCATCTCTTCCTCTCCTTACTCTTCCCCTACCTGTCTTCTCTCTCTCTCCATCCATCTCCTGCCTCCGTTGCTTGGAGCCAGGAGACCAGCCTAGGGCTGCAGATGTCTTCCAAGCTGCCATTGCTCCTGCCCTCAATACTTCCTCCCTCTGGCTGGGAGGACACTAAATGGTTAGAATTCCCCTTTCCCTTCCTCATACTCCGTCTGTCTCCTGAGACACAGAGTCATGATGGAGGTATTGATGAGTTGTTTTTTTTTCTGGGCACAGCTCCTACCTTGGCTGGGAGACACTGTGGGCTGCAGGTTTGGGCCATGGAAGGTATACTGGCCCTCCTCCAGGGGGCACACGTCCAGCTTGTCCCACGTGGCAAGCAGCTGCAGCCAGCCTGCACGCTCCTCTGGCTTGCAATGGGGGCTCAGGATGATGCAGACCCACAAGGCCCCTGGGAAGGCATGGGGTGGGGGTCTGACATGAGCCACAGGGGCAGCGCCCTGCTGAAGGCTGTTCCTTGTCCTGCTTAATAATGTGCGTGTGTGTGTGTGCATGCGTGCACGCGTGCGCAACTGGAGCTTGAACTCAGGACTTTGAACTTTTGCTTGTCTTGTCCACTCAAGGCTTGTGCTCTACTACTTGTGCCATGCCTCTACTTCTAGCTTCTTGCAGACTCCTTGAGATCCTACTTCTAGAGTCTCACAGATGTAACTACCAGGCTGGCTTCGAACCTCAATCCTTATGTTTCAGCTTCCTGAGTAGCCATGAGCCACCATGGGCAGCTTTTTGGATGTTAAGGTTGCTTTCGTTTATATTTTTTATTTTTTGTTGGTCGTGGGGCCTGAACTCTGGGCCTGGGCGCTGTCCCTCAGCTCTTCAGCTCAAGGCGAGCGCTCTACCGCTTGAGCGCCACTTTCGGCTTTTTCTGTTTATGTGGTTCTGAAGAATTGAACCGAGGGCTTCATGCATGCTAGGCCAGCACTCCACCCCTGAGCCGCACCTCCCAGCTTTGGGAGAAAGTATTTTAAAAAATAAAAATATCGCCAGGTACTGGTGGTTCTTTCCTGTCATCCTAGCTACTCAGGAGGCTGAGATCTGAGGATCTTGGCTGAAAGTCAGCCCAGGCAGGAAAGTCTCTTATTGCCAATGAACCACCAAAAAGCTGGAAGTGTAGCTGTAACTCAAGTGGTAGAGTGCTAGCCTTGAGTACAAAGAGGCTCAGGAACAGGTCCTGAGTTCAAGCCCCAGGACTGGCAAAACAACAAAAAACAAGTTTTACTAGAACACCGCCATGCCCACTTGGTAGCTCCGCCCACCCCCCTTTCATGTATTTGATTTGCTGAGGATGGAGCCTAGAGCCTTATGCATCCTAATCAAGAGGTCACCAGCCCCGCCCACATTTAACAAGCCCCGCCCACCACCGAAGGCCCCGCCCGTCGCCAAGCCCCGCCCACCGCCCCTAGTATTTAAGCCTGCTTGCTGGCAGCCCCGGGCCGCAGGGGCTGGAGGGCTGCAGGTACCCGATGGGCCTCGCCCACCCAGGCCGGGCCTTACCCAGCTCGTCCCACAGCTGCCGGCATCTGTCCGTCATGCCCGCGCCCTGCTGCCGCCACAGGCCCAGGCGCGGGTCCTGCAGGAACTGCTCGGTCATGAGGATGAGCATGCGCGCCCCGTTCGAGTCCCGCATGCGCAGCATCTCCCGCACCTGGGCGGCACGGGGGCGGGGGTGAGGGGTGAGGAAGGGGTGGCGGGGTCCCCCCCCCGTGCCCGCGCCTCCCGCGCCCCCCCCAGCACCTTGCCGAACATGCAGCGCAGCTGCTGGCTGGCCCCGTAGTAGGCGCCGTTGGAGAGCAGCTGCTTCACCTGCTCCTGGATCTGCCCCTCGTCCAGGTGCCAGCAGTTGGCATCCTCGATGCCCGCGCCCGCCGTGGGGTCCGGGGCGCCTGCGGGGAGGGGGAGGGGGCCGCGGAGAGCTGAGGTGGGACCGGGATGGGTGTGGAAAGAGGGTGTCTGTCCACTTCCCCAAGTCTCTAGATGTGTCCAAAAGTTCCAGCCACCCCACAAGAAACACATCTGTCCATCCATCTATCTATCCATCCACTCACCCACCCATCCACCCACCCACCCACCCACCCATCCATCCATCCATCCATCCATCCACCCACCCATCCACCCATCCACCCACCCACTCACCCACCCACCCACCCACCCACTCACCCATCCATCCATCCATCCACCCACCCATCCATCTACCCACTCGCCTATCCGTTCATCCCTCCATCCACCACCCACCCATGTATCCACTCATCCACCTACCCATCCATCTACCCACTCACCTATCCATCCATCCACTCATCCATTCATTCATCCACTCCTCTATTCATCCATCCATCCATCAACCCATCCATTCATTTATCCACCTATCTATCCACACATCCATCCATCCATCCATTCACCCATATACCCATCCATCCATCTACCCACCCACCCACCCACCCATCCACCCATCCATCTACCCACCCACCTATCCATCCATCTATTCATCCACCTACCCACCTATCAACTCCTGGATCCAACCAACCAATCCCTTGATTGATCTACACATCTGCAATCCACTCATTTCTTAAAACTCTGCAGGTCTGCATATCCATCTACAAGTGCATTAATTACTCCTCCCACCCAAATCACCATCCATCGCTTCCACTTACTCACCTAACCATCTCGCAAAATTGCCACCACATGCCCCACCCCTGCTCTGTCCATTCCCCCATCCTTGTGCCTCTTGGGGCTCCCTGAGCCCATCAACAACCATGGCACATGCAGCCCCTCTCCCTGCCACCCGCCACGGTCAGTCCACAGATCTGAATGTTCCCTGAGCCTGCCCACCTATCCCCTTGTGGGTCACTCATTGGTTCTCCTATTCTCCCACCCCTCCATCATCCAATCACAGCCTCCTGTCCAGCCCCACCTTCAATGACTGACGTCCCTGTTGGACTTGATCACTTATTACTCACCCCACCATCACTTCACCCCAACAAGCCCACACCTACCCAGTGCCACGCCTAATTCTTCCCCCAAGGCTACCACCCAATTCTCATGCATCTGTAGTCTCCCCGTCAGGACGGGGGAAGCTCAGGACTCTCCCAGTCCTTCCGACCTCCTGCGATATTGGTCCCACTCATCGCTCACCTGACACCACCACCTCCAAGCCCTCTACCCGCCCCTCCCAGCCTGCTCCGCGGACTCACAGGGGGCAGTGGTGTGTGGCTCACCTCTTCTCCCCTCACGCCTGCCCCTCACCGTGTTTTCCTTTCTTTTTTTTTTTTTCTTTTTCTTTTTTTTTGGGTCTGTTATGGGGCTTGAACTTGAGGCCAGGGCACTGCCTCTGAGCCTCTTTGTGCTCAAGGCTACTGCTCTACCACTTGAGCCACAGCGCCACTTCCGGTTTTCTGTTGGTTCATTGGAGAGAAGAGCCTCACAGACAGAGGTGGCGCTGTGGCTCAGGCGGTGCAGCGCTCGCCTTGAGCACAAAGAGGCTCAGAGGCAGCGCCCAGGCCCTGAGTTCAAGCCCCACAGCCAAGAGCCTCACAGACCTTCCTGCCTGGGCTGGCTTTGAACCATGATGCTCAGATCTCAGCCTCCTGAGTCGCTAGGGTGACAGGCGTGAGCCACCGGCTCCAGGCTACCAGCTTCTTTCTTGTCTTTGAGGCAGTGTCTTTCTTTGAGCCCTGAACGGGAGCCTTCCTGCCTCAGCCTCCCTAGTGCTGGGATTACAGGCAGGTACAGCCATGCCAGGCCCCAGGGGACCCAGGACACTGTGAGGGAGGCACACAGTGGCCCTGGCTGTCTGTCCCCTCCCCTACACCCGCGCCTCACCGTGTACCAGGTTGATCTCGGAGCCCAGCAGTAGGATCTCATCGGCCAGGCGCTGGGCTGTGGGCAGCACCTCCGTGTGGTGGGCGCTGATGAGGTACTGCACGAACTTCTGCAGCTGGTCGCGGTTCATCTGGGACAGCGTCTCGGAGATGGGCAGGCGCAGCTCCACGCGCCGCGCGTGGCGGATGCGGTACAGCGACAGGGCCACCACGTGCGCACAGTAGAAGAGGCCCGGGTTGTCGCAGCCGCAGCTCACTGACGTGATCTTGCAGCGGTCGAAGCTGATGGAGACCTGGTACAGGCGCTCCGGCTCCCCGGGGCTCCCCTCTTCGCGGATGGTCCCGCTCAGGTGGAACCCTGAGAACAAAGGCAATGACACCCCAGAATCCCTTCAGTGGGGTGCAAGCAACGTCCAGGTACACAGCCAAGCTGAGAAACCTAGCGTTCCACACTTGCTCTGGCCGTGCCTCATTCCACCCCCCCCTCCCCCGTGGCTCACACCTGTAATCCTGGAGACAGAGGAGGCTGAGATCTGAGGATCAAAGTTCAAAACCAGTCTGGGCAGGAAAGTCCACGAGAATTTTTATCTTCCAGTTAACCACCCAAAAGCCAGAAGCGATGGCAAAAACAAACAAACGAACAAAACCCTCAGGCCCTGAGTTCAAGCCCCACTACCAGCACACATACCCAAAGAAAAGCAACCTAACACAAAAAGCCAACGTGGTTGTAATAAGTGAACGCGTGACAGGTGTTCAGAGCACTGCATGAAGTTTCAAGTCCTAGACATACTCTTATTCTTGTCCTGTTTACGTGTGCCTGCACTGGGACTTGAACTCAAGGCCTTGTATTCTCCATTCATAGCTGGTGCTCTAGCATGTAAGCCACGCCCCTTCCATCTTATTCTAATGAGGAGTGCTTCACGGAGCTGGCGCTAAAGCCCCCTCTGGTTACCATGGATACAGCTAGGGCTGGCTTTAGAAGCCTAGGACTTCCCAGGAAGATTCCCAGGGCTCCATCACTTGAGGGTGTGGGGTACTGGGGCAGGCCCGGGCCAGATCACCCCTCTCCCCCCTCCCTGGCTTCTGGGCAGCCTGGGCGTCACGTGGGGCTCATATAACAGGTTGGGCAGCCAGGGCACAACTTGTGTCATGCGGTGCCCGGGGCTTCCTCATAGCAGAGGTGGTCAGGGGCCTGCGCTGGCTGACAGGGCCGGCTGGCACGGAGGCTTGAACTCAGGGCCTGAGGACTGTCCCTGAACTTTTCCACTTCTGGCATTTGGTGGTTCATGGGGGATAAGTGTCTTAGATGTTCCTGCTCGAACTGGCTTTGAACCGTCATCCTCACATCCCAGCCTCCCGAGTAGCCGGTTCCAGTGTGTCACGTCTTCATTTTATGTTTCAATGGACATCCTCATTGTGCATATTTCTGGGCTCCAGTGGGGTTAATTCCACACCTGTCCACGTGTGTGGCTCCCAGATCCTGGTAATTGGCTTTTCCTGCTTTATAAATGTTTTATCATTTCTTCCTGTTTGAAGGCCTCCTGCTTCTGCCTTTTAGTTCTTTATAAAAATAACATAATAAATGTTTGGGAACAGCAGTCATCTCCTGCATGTGAGCCTTTGATCACCAGGGCCAGGAGACTCTCACCCCTGAGGGCCCGGCTTTCACACGAACCCCCCACATGAAGTCAGTTTCAATCCAGGGCCTTGAGCTTTGGGACAAAGGCTGATGCTCTACCCTGGAGCCATGTCCCCACCTCTTCTGAGTTTTACTTTCTTTTTTTGTTGTTGTTGGTGGTGGTGGTGGGGCTTGAACTCTGGGCCTGGGCGCTGTCCCTCAGCTCTTCAGCTCAAGGCGAGCGCTCTACCACTTGAGCCACAGCGCCACTTCTGGTTTTCTGGTGGTTTATTGGTGATAAGAGTCTCATGGACTTTCCTGCCGGGGCTGGTTTTGAACCACGATCCTCAGATCTCAGCCTCCTGAGAAGCTAGGATGACAGGTGTGAGCCACTGGTGCCCTGCTTACTTTATTTCTGAGACAAAGAGTCTTGAGAACGTTGCTCAGGGCCAGCACCCCTGCTCCCCAGCTTTCTGGTGGATCCTCTCCCCTTCCCACCTGTTTTCTCCATCTGGGCTCCCAGCTGGAGCGCAGGGCTGGCTTTGCTTTAGTGCCACTGTGGTACCTGGGCCTCGGCGCCAGGCCTGCCCCGCCCGCTCCGAAGCTCCTGGGCAGGGGCAGGCCAACACTCACCCACTTGCAGCACCCGGTCTACAGCCCCGCTCTGTAGCAGATGCAGCCCGCGTGTGAAGGGCACCCGGGCGTCCTGCTCGCCCTCCGGGGGCTGGTACCCCAGGGACGAGTACATACATATCTCCCGCTCACTTCGTGGAAAAGACCAGAACACGATGCGTTTCTGGACAGGCTCAGGTACCCGAGAGAAGCGCTCTTCCACCTGCAGGAGAGGCAGAGGGTTAGAAATCTGGACTAATATCCCTGGCGTTGGGATTTCCAAGCTGGGTGGCCTTGCACAAGTCACTTGACCTTTCTGAACCCTAGTTCAGGCACGCATGCATGCCATACTATGGCTTGAACTCAGGGCCCAGGTACTGTCCCTTAGCTTTTTTTCTTCAAAGCTGGTGCTCTACCACTCAAGCCACAGCTCTACTTCTGGCTTTTTGCTGGTTAAATGGAAATAAAAGTCTCAGGGACCTTCCTACTTTGGCTGGCTTTGATCCTTAGAGCTCAGCCTCCTGAGTTTTAGGGTTACAGGCTTGAGCCATGGCCTGGGCTGAGATCTTTATCTATGTGATTCCCCCTAATTCTCAACAGGAGCTTGGTTAAGAACAGCTGGGGTCTAAGGCTCAGAGGTGGGGTGAATTCATGTGTTCAGAATCCACGGCCTGGGTGGTGCCATTCCTCAGGCAGGGCCCCCAAAGGGAGGGGTGTCCTGGCCACCCCTGTGGGCTCCAGGCAATGAAACCAGCTGGTCGAGCCCCGGTTCCAATCCTGGTTTGCTATTCACTGGCTGGGTGGCCTTAGGCAAGTTTCTCAACCTCTCGGTGCCCCAGTTTCTCCCGAGTGAGGACAAGTCCCAAAGGGTTACAGAAGATTCCAGGGGCTTCTCTCGCAGCAGCCCGGGCCAGGCCTAAGAACTTCGAGGGTGGTTTTAGGAGATCTTCACTAGGTCTTGCACTCTAAGAAGGGGCAGGAGCCCTCCTCGGCCCCCCTCCCAGCCAGGCTCCGGGAAGCGGGAGCCGCGGGGCCGGGTGAGTGACAGTTGGCTGGTGACTAAGGAGGGATTTTTCCCGTCCATGAATCAGAACCAGCTCCATCGCAACTCGACCAAACCCGCCAGTCCTAAGTTGAGAAAGGCTGGCAACACACACCCGGAAAAGTCCAAGAGGACAGAGGGGGTGGGGGGCTGCCTAGCACCCTCAGACCTGGGGAGCCCCCGTGAGGCGGTGGGGGCGCCGTCCAGGCGCTCGGAGCTCCCCAAGCAATGGCGCCGCTTCCCGGTGCACCTGCCAGGTTCCCGCCTGCCTGGGGAGCCTGGGTGCGGGGCGGGGGGGGGCGCAGAATCTGAACCCCGGTAACCCCTATCTCTAACTAGGGGGGCTAGGGCTGGAGGTGCAGGGGCCCAGTGGACGGGGGGGGGGTCGGAAGAGGTGTCCTGAGCTGGGATGCGGCAGTGGGGGGGTATGGGAAGGGAGGGTGGGGGTCAGAGGCCCAGGGACATGGGGTGTCCTCCAGGAAAGCCTGGGGGAGATAGTGTCCCCAAGTAGGGGCGGCTTGTAGGGCTCAGAGGCCCCCTGTCGGTAGGAGAACCCCGGGGGTCGGGGGGAGAGGGGGCGGGAATGTCCCACGTGGGATCTGGGGTGCTGGGGCGGGGCGCGGTGGGTCATGGGGTTGAAGGGCGCCGGGAGGGGTGAGGGGGGTCTCGGGCCCGGGTCGCGCTCGGGGCTGGGGGCCGGGCCCCCCTGTCACCTGCTCGAAGGCCCAGCTCTCCGCCACTCGCTTGGCGCTGAGGTCCAGCAGCGCTTCGGGCC